CAGTTGAAGAGGCTTGATAGAGTTAGCTGGAAGCCCAGCTAGTAGAGAGTTGCAGTAATCCAGTTTGGAGAGAACAAGAGCTTGAACAAGGAGTTGAGCTGCATGTTCAGATAAGAAGGGTCGGATCTTTCTGATGTTATAGAGTGCAAATCTGCACGATCGAGCAGTTCTAGAAATGTGGTCAGAGAAGTTTAGTTGGTCATCAATCGTTACTCCAAGGCTTTTCACCATTTTGGATGCAGTAATGGTTGCCCCATCCATCTGGATTGAAAAGTTATGGTGTAGAGTCGGGTTGGCAGAAACTACAAGCATTTCCGTTTTTGCGAGGTTCAGCTGAAGATGATGATCTTTCATCCAGTGTGAAATATCCACAGGCAGGCTGAGATACGAGCTGGAACCGAGGGATCATCAGGATGAAAAGAGAGGTATAGCTGGGTGTCATCAGCATAGCAGTGGTAGGAGAATCCATGTCTCTGGATGACTGGTCCTAGAGATGATGTGTAGATGGATAAGAGAAGTGGCCCTATCATCACTATCATCTTCTTCATTATATCATCCTCTTCATCATCATCACTATTACTTCATTATTATCCTCTTCATCACTGTTATCATCATCATCACTATCACTTAATTATTACAATCATCACAGTCATCGTCTTCATTTTATCATCATCATCACTAACATCTTCATCATCATCATCATCACTATCATCATCATCTTCATTTTATCATCATCATCACTATCACTTAATTATTACAATCATCACAGTCATCGTCTTCATTTTATCATCATCATCACTAACATCTTCATCATCATCATCATCATCACCATCATCATCATCTTCATTTTATCATCATCATCACTATCACTTTATTTCCATCATCTTCATCACCATCATCATCTTCTTCATTTTATCATCATCATCATCACTATCATCATCTTCATCACTTTATCATCATCATCTTCATTTTATTATCATCATCATCTTCATTTTATCATCATCATCTTTATCTTCATCACTATCATCATCACTATCATCATCTTCATCACTTTATCATCATCATCTTCATCACTAACACCATCTTCATTACTTTATCAATCATCATCATTTTATGATCCTCATCACTATCATCTTCATCATCATTATCATCTTCATCACTTTAACAATCATCATCATCACCGTCATCCTCTTCATCTTCATTTTATCATCATCATCACTATAATCTTTATCATCACTTTATCATCATCTTCATTTTATCATCATCATCATCATCACACAACAGCAGCACAAACACACAGCCAGGAAACACAACCTGTGTTTCGGTCAAAAGTGCAACAATGTATCATTTCCCATCAGTCAGTCAGTCAGTCTGTCGGTGCTACAATGTAACGTTTTCACAAATCATAGAATACAATGTAACAATTGTAGCAGCTGTGTCTGTGTACTAAAATGATACAAAAGTACCAAATGATACAGGGTAAACACCCTGCTCTCAGTAAAGCAAACCTGTCAATAAATGTGCAAGAAATACACACATATTAACTGTCACTTTAATGTGATCAATTGATTTTTCGTCGGGTTTTTACTTCATCTGAACTCATTTAACTCTGTCATAACTGCAATATTTACACTCCTCCTTAAAATGTATAGGCGATGTGACAGTATGGGCTGCTTTTCGCTGTACTTCGTGACGTAAAAATAATATTGAATGTTGTTCTCCCTCTACGATGGAATTTGCAGGCATTTGATAGACTTGTTCCTCCTCACTCCTCATTTCTGTCGTCTGTTAAGGTAAGCAGGCTGTGTGCACGCGAGCGATACACTTATTTAAATATGTCTTATGATACTATAGACACATTTATACATAGTTTCAAAACTTTTACAACAACCGTGAAGCAAAACAAAATGTAATAGGTCTATGTGTTTTTTACGCATTTACTTGTTTATCACATATACCATGTATTATAATATAACAAACAGAGATTAACTCTTTGTCATGGACTATATTTCTAAAAAAAAGGTTTGAGAAGTTGTCTGTGGCAGGGTGGGGCTGACGTCACAGGCGAGCGCCCCGAGGGCACTGTAGTCCGTTTATAGCCTAATGTTAGCTTTTCAGTGCTTGCGTTTGCATTTAAGATTCAAAAGTGCTCAAAGTTGTATTTTGGTGTGAGGATTATCCGGCTGGACAAAACGTGTAAGTGTCATGAACAGTGTTTGAACACAGAGCTTATTATTCACAGTCTTTGAAAAGCCTATGGGAAAATCCTATAGGGATTTTATTGAGGGAACCAGGTTCATGCAAGCAGCCGATTTGCCTACAAGGTGACGTCATAGTTCCTCCACTCTATTGAGCTGCTATTTTACACTCAATAATTCAGGTGTCATGATTTTTAAAAATGTATATCTAGATTATAATATTAATAATATTACAATATCAGCTTCACATGTTATCGTATAGCAGATACATTAATACAAATGTATAAAGTATTGTTTAGAAAAAACTAATTCTATATATTTCCTAAATTTTTCTTCTAGAGAAAGTCTTAATTCTTTTAGTGCTGGAAAAAAATATTAATAATTTAAAAATATTTTTAATTTAAAATTAATCATTAATAATTATAAATATGAAATGTAAAAACGGATAAAAAGTTAATATGATTAGGCTCCTCAAGAAATTAGTTTATTTAAAAAAAAAATAAGCCCTTTAAATTGCTCTTAAAGCAGAATACTAGAATCTTGCTAAATTACTACGAAAATAATACGTAATATCATGTCATCATGGCAAAATAAATGAGTTATTAAAACTATTATTTAAAATGACAGGTCTTTAATTAAGATGGGATTTGACTTTGATTAGCGCACAATCTTAAAGTAAAGATCTAATGAATGAAATTCTAAAAGAGATTCTTTAACTGTAGTGCTTGTAATAATATTACATTTTTTAAATAATAAGATTTTATTTTAATATTCATTAATTCAGCTTAGTTCTTTTATTAATCAAGGGTCATCACAGCGGAATGAACCGCCAAATTATCCAGCAAATGTTTTACACAGTGGACGCCCTTCCAGCTGCAATCCATTTCTGGGAAACACCTGGAGGAAACCCACGCCAACACAGGGAGAACATGCAAACTCCACACAGAAACACCAACTGACCTAGTTGGGACTCGAACCAGTGACCTTCTTGCTGTAAGGCCACAGTGTTAACCACCGAGTCACCTGTTTCACCATTATTTGAATTTTTACTATATAAAATACATTTTAAATTCACTTATGATAAATTCTGTTTATTCTACTATATATTTATATATTAATAAGCTGTTTTTAAATGAGGGCCAATTTGAAGCCAATGACAAAAGAGCCAACTTCTAAACATCACAGGCTATAAAAAGCAGATCTATTCCTCCGCCAGATCTCACGTTTCTGGACGATAAAGCCATTACAGAGAGCTGCCGCAGCCCTCTTTCCCTCCATTTTAATGGAGGAGCATCAGATTTCAAGCATCCTTCCTCATCAGCGCTATAAATAGAGGCTGAAACAGGAGCGAACGCACCAGGAACATATAGTTCTGACCCCAGATGTGGGCGTTCAGTCACTGACCGCTGAAGTGGACGCGCACAGATCCTTCAGCCTCCCACACATGCTGCACTCCAATACTGCACTTTACAATGAAGAGTGCACTACAATACTGCTGAATGCTGGATTCTGATTGGCTGATGAAGGTGTGCTGTTAGTAAAGGATCACAATTCTCATGGTTGGGATCACACTACAGTTTTTGAGTCACGGATTGGACCATTTTTCAGATCATAAAAAAAGGGAGGAGACAAATGTCACGTGCTTTACATTAATACAAAAATACTACTGCAACAGCCATTGGTTCAACAAACAGAGCTTGAAAGCAGTAACTTTAATAAAAATAAAAATCAAGAAAAAGCTGGAAAAAGGAAAATATTCAATATGAAATATGATCTTTGCTCCGGTTGCTGATAATGCTAAATCTAACATCTTCTACAACAGATCATATTTATCTTCAATAATTGATTAAACTTCACATTAAACTTCATGTTTATTATAGGTGGATCATTTCTGAAAACCATAAGTTGGCAGTTCATTCCGCTGTGGCGACCCCGGATTAATAAAGGGACTAAGCCAACAAGAAAATGAATGAATGAATGATATTCAGTGCCATCATTTTGATGGTTGTTTGTCGCCATCTATTGGTTAAAACAGTGTAACTGCTGCAACATTCACCAGCGTCAAGTTCCATTAAACCAGTGGTCCCCAACCCCCAGTCATCAATCAGTACCCGGCCGCACAAGAACTAAGTAGTTAGTTAATGAGGGTCACAAAACTGACTTATTTGTGTGACATATTCAGCTAGCTCAATGAACTCAACCTGTCACTCCAGGGGAAAGAGACAACTATCTTTAGGTTGGCAGTAACTGCATTTAAAGCCAAACTGGACTTGTGGGGACGGCGCGTGAACAGAGGCAAATTGAACATGTTTCAAACATTAGTGGGGATTATGTGTGAGACTGAGCCTGCGCCCTCACTCACCAAGCTGGTGCACGATCACCAGTCTTCGCTGTTAAAGGAGTTTGAGCGCTACTTCCCAACCTCAAAGGACCCACGAACGGCCAAGGAATGGATACGTGACCCATTTATCAACAAACCAGCTGAATCCAGCATGTCCGTGCAAGAAGAACAGCAACTGCTGGAGATCGCAAATGACAGCGGCCTTAAAACAGCGTTCGAGACAACAACTCTGCCGGTGTTCTGGATTAAAGACATGACAGAATACCCAGAGATCACCAACACGGCGCTGAAAACCCTGTTGCCATTTCCAGCATCCTATCTATGTGAAGCGGGGTTTTCTAGAGTGACCGCCACCAAAACAAGGCAAAGGAGTAGACTGGACACAAGCAACACACTTCAGGTGTCTTTGTCTGCCATTACCCCCAGATGGGACCATCTCATAGCAAAGAAACAAGCTCAGGGCTGCCATTGATTCAGCGTTACGGACAGTTTTTGATGTTATAATATGTTATATTGTTGGAGCGATGTGTTAATAAAGTGATTAATTCCTAATGTTATAATAGCATTGTAATGTTGGAGCAATGTGCTGATAAGTTTCACATGAGAACACAGTGGATTCACGTTTATTATTATTATTATTATTATTATTTTAACCCCCCGGTCCGCAGTAAAATTGTCAAGTGTTGACCGGTCCGCAGTTAGAAAAAGGTTGGGGACCACTGCTTTAAATGGTGATTTTAATCTGTAGCATAAACATCAGTGTATTTATCTGAACTATAAACTGTTCTCGGCGAGGCAGTGGCGCAGTAGGTAGTGCTGTCGCCTCACAGCAAGAAGGTTGCTGGTTTGAACCTCGGCTCAGTTGGTGTTTCCAAACACATGCGGTACAGGTGCATTGGGTAGGCTAAATTGTCTGTAGTATATGACTGTGTATGAGTGCGTGTGAATGTTTCCCAGAGATGGGTTGCGGCTGGAAGGGCATCAGCTGCATAAAAAAAACTTGCTGGATAAGTTGGCGGTTCATTCCGCTGTGGCGACCCCGGATTGATAAAGGGACTAAGCCGACAAGAAAATGAATGAATGAATAAACTGTTCTCACAGCACTTGTTTTATTTAATAAATTTGTTTGTAATTCCCTGAAAAAGTGTAAAAACTGAATTTTTCAGCTTAGTCCCTTTAATAATCAGAAGTTGCCACAGTGGAATGAACCACCAACTTATGCAGCATATGTTTTACACAGCGGATGCCCTTGCAGCTGCAACTATTGGACACTGTACACTATGGGCAATTTTAGCCTACCCAAATCCCCTATACTGCATGTGTTTGGACTGTGGGGGAAACCCACGCCAACACAGGGAGAACATGCAAAACTTGCCAACTGACCCAGCCAAGGCTCGAACCAGCCACCTTCATGCTGTGAGGTAATTGTGCAACCCACTGCGCCACCGTGCCACCCAAAACCTGACTAATAATCTCTCAAACACAACATCTCACAGTGGAGTAACTGTGGTGTAAGCAGAATAACGCACTCTGTTATGGTGGATTATTAGACAATAATGCACACCTAAGAGGTAACAGTCACTCCACATCAGCACCTCAGCTGTGCATTATAGTCTAATAATCATTCAGTCTGTCATCAGTTATTCCTCACATGAGTGTAAGAGTCACCGAGTCCACCAGAATCAGACCCGAAGGCTTTGATTAGCACACACTAGTGAAGGTTACGCCGCTGCCATATACTGAGCCCAGAGCCAGAACAGCAGCAGTGAACTGAGCCGGAGCGACTGGAGGTCAAAACATGCCTTCATCACGCTATCTGCACTTCCATATCACATGCATCTGCTGCTCTGACGACTCAAACTGACCATATGAGAGATTACAGCTTCATTAAAACAAGGAATAACTGACTGCTGTACAATTACTAGAAAACAAAGACCGTGATGTGAAGCCGGTTATTCTCTAAAAATCCCCCATCTGAGGTCAATATTGTGCTTCTAGCACCGCTTCTAAATCCACTGCTCAGAGGGTGTGTTTGAGAGTGTGTAAGTCAGGTGTGTGTCCTCCTCAAACATCTCCTGTGTGCAGCACTGGTGTCCTCCACATCTCCTCCTTCTGTTGTGTTCTGATGTGATGTTTGACTATAATGTGGTGTATCACTGTTTATACTGCAGCTCTGCTGAATTGGCTGATGAGCATTCTAAGGCATTTAGTTATTGTCAGATAAATGCACAGCTAAAGTAGTTCCGGCAGGTTTTGAGTGCATTACAGCTCAATATCACTGTGATTGAATGAATGATTGCAGAATGATTTCTCAAGATTCACTGGATTTGTCATTTGTCAAATCATTTTTAGTGGCCAATAAAAAATGTGCTGGGTAAGTTGGCGGTTCATTCCGCTGTGGCAACCACAGATTAATAAGGGACTAAGCCTAATTAATGAATTATTAAAATGTACTTTATATTATTTAAGAAAATAATAGATAATTATTATTACAAAAGCAGTTTCAGCTTCAGATCTCTGCTAAATGCATACAGGATGTTTTCGGTTTCACCACAGATTTTTTAATATCAGTGCATCCTTAATGATTAGAGTTATTTCACAGCTAAAATATAAAAATATCATATTTTCAAAATATCGTGATTACTGCTCAAAAACAGGCACTTTTTAAACGTGATGTACAGCCTGTTATTCTCTAAATATTTCCCATCCCAGAGGTCATTATTGTGCTTCTAACACTACTAATAAATCCACTACTCATGTAACCCCGCCGGTCCTACCTCACCCAACCCGCTCCGAGCTGGAATCGAACCGTCGACCTTCCGCATGGGAGTCGGTTACTCTACCAAGGAGGCTAAAGACCACGGCCTCTAGCATCTGTCGCTAGAGCACCTTTAGAGGTCAGAGGAGTGAGGTTTACCTGCACAGCACACACTAGCTGGCCTCCGTTACACTCAGATGGTGTGTTTGAGAGTGTGTAAGTCAGATTTGTGTTCCCCTTTAAACATCTCCTGTGTGCAGCACTGGTGTCCTCCACATCTCCTTCTTCTGTTGTGTTGATGTGATGTTTGACTGTTGTAGCTGTAAAATATCTCTAATCATTCAGTGGAGTGATATGGAGCTGTAATGAACTCAAAACCTGCCGGAACTACTTTAGCTGTGCATTTATCTGACAATAACTAAACACCTGAGAGCAGGGGTCAGCAACCTTTTTTCAGCAAAAAGCCATTTCAGATTGTTTTTTATCAAACGCATTTTTAAAGAGCCATGTGGGGGGTGTGTATATAACAAAACTCAAAAGTAATCTGACGCATCACAATGTTTGAAGAAACAACACTTTACTGATTTTCTTTTCGCCATCGCCACTCATGCATGTTTGAAATTACGTGTGTGAAGTTACCATAGAAATGTAAGAAATATAACGCCGCTATTGTTGTCGCAATTCAACTTAAACCCCAGCACCACATATGCACATCGGCTGAAACATCCTTTTACTGTAAGAGTTCTTATTCATTTTGTGGTAGAAAACACAATAAAAAAGGGAATTGTAGCTATATTTTCAATAGGACACAGATTTCTATATTGTTTGATTTTTTTAATTTTGAAATATTATTGAAGAGAGAAACAGCTGGAGAGCCACATATTTTTGGTCAAAGAGCCACATGTAGCTCCCGAGCCATAGGTTCCTTAGCCCTGCCTTAGAGTGTTCATCAGCCAGCTGCAGTATAAACAGTAATACACCACAATATAGTCATTCCCAACTAAAACTACAATAGAAATCAATCAGAAGTCACTTTTATTTCCACGTAAACCTGCTAAATTAAATTGTGAACTGAAAAATATAACAATAGTAGATATTTAATAATACACAAACCATAATTAACCAACTATAAATGTTAATTTAAATATGCGCTCAAAACCTGCTGGAACTACTTTGGATGTGCATTTATCTGACAATAACCACAGTGCTCATCAGCCAATCAGAGTCAAGCTATCAGCACTACTGTAGTATTATCAAGAACTAGCTTTTGGGATTGAGCGGTTTACAGTGTCTGCTATAATGTTAATGTTGTTTTGGTGTGCTTACAGATGAATATTTCCATCTGTGTTATTTTTAAAACCAGCACTTTACATTCCATTACAATAAAGCATAAAGGAATCAATATCAAAAACAAACTCAACTACTCAAAGACTTCCTAAAAAATGGACTTTGAAAGTTTTTATTTTATATGCAGTATTCATTCATAATGTCAGAAATAATGCAGTAATTCATTCATCATGATAAAAAATACTAATATATATATATATATATATATATATATATATATATATATATATATATATATATATATATATATATATATATATATATATATATATATATATATATATATATATATATATATATATATATAT